ATTTGTCAAAAAAAGATTACTAACATTTACAAAGAGATTAACAAGCAAACTTATTTTTCTTGTTAGAATCCATGTTTTAACAGAAAATAAAAATTTGGATATGCAAACCACTTATTTTTGCACTCAAATTTTTTGTGATGACCAACCTTGATTGTATATTTATTTAACGTTATTTCAAGAAATTCTCTTTCCTAAAATATTTGAAGCTTTGTCATCTCAATTTTCCAAAGTTTAGAAGTTCTTCTAGCATCAATTATTGGATCAACTGAATTAAAAATATCAAAATAATTTAAAATTAATATATCTGGATAATAGAAAGATGAGAAAGGGCTCTCCAGTTTTAAAAATGTCAGTTTTACCTCTTCATTACCAGGATATTTTCCCAAGATATATCCTAACCACCAATTCCTATCATAGATTCCTGTAAAAAATCATTATCAGGGGGATGATGTTCTGCCCAAAACCCAGTTTAGTCAGGCAGTAACTTCTGCCTTGGAAAATAACTGTTTGGCATGGCCAAAGATATTTATTAACGCGCACTTGTAGGTAGGCAGATCTGGGGTCCAGTAGTGCCATATTTGACCCTTGCTGTCTCCATTCTCTTGTTATTACAAACATCAGCATTTGCTGTATATGTGTCAACGTGGAGGTTAAATTCCTGGTAATCCATTACGAACTGCACCTTGGATTTGTTTTGTTGCATGATGATCAACAACGGAAGAAGCTCTTTCAAGCATCCTAATTTTCATTCATCATAGGGAATAAGCCAGCTTTTCTCAACCCATTGATGCAATTCCTTCATTAACATGGCACACTCTGCAATGCAGTTTTGCAGCTTGCAGGGTGCTTTGCAGTCAGTCCATTTCCATGATGCAGTCCGCTCATTTTGTTGCTGATTAAATTCCACATTAAATCAGGTTCTTCAATGGAGAATGCTGCTATCTCTCATGCAGAAGCTTTCTTGTGAAAAAAAGAGTACCTCTCCTGGCTTCGAAATGGAAACCCCACCCAAGGCCTTGATTGCATCCATGCCAATCAGTACATCGAATCCAAGAGGGTCCTCTTGTGCTAATAAAGCCTATTTCTGAAGTTTCTCCACACGCCCAAAGATCTATCTGTCAAATACCACTGGTGTAACTAGAATGCATCACCAAAGCTGAGCTGCCCCTAGTCCACACTACTTCCCAGGGGTGCTCATTACAATACTTATCAACAAGATCTAACCTGTCGATAAAGTCCTAAAATGGCTTCACATCCAGGTTGTACACAATCTTGGCCCTATATGATCTATGTTGGGGTCAAAGATGGCATTCCAATTGCCCTCTAAAACTAGCTGACAAGATGTCAAAAATGGCTCAATCTGTTAAAATAAACCAGGCCGCTCACTAGGGTCATTAGACACATAAACCCCAATGAGACGAAGCATCTTAACCTTTATGGTAATATCCAGCATGCAAAGCCTGCCTATAGATCTGCAAAGACAAGAGCACATGCTGCATCCAGAGATTTGCACACCAGCCAAGAAACACCTCTCGAGTATCCATCAAAACATGCTGAATAGAGGAGAAACCTCTTAGAGAGAATATCTTTATAGTTATGAGTTGAAAACCAGGTCTCCTGGAGACAACATGCATTCACCCAAAGACGCTGAATATTGCAAATGAGCCTTGCCCTGCAAAACTCCAACCTCAGGCCCCAAAGAGACATTATCAATAAACCTTGGGGTTGCTCCTTGATATTCAACATAGCTTGGGTAAGAACACTAATGGCCTGTTCCACTGAACCTTGACCGATCTCACATTTGAAAGTGCCATTGAGTGACAGGCTGCCAATATCTCCCAGGAACGCTAGTTTGCGAATTCTATAAAGGGAGACATGAACATAAATGTGGAGCCTCCATGTGCAAAGTTCTTTAATTTGGCCACGTCATCTCTCATGTAGGCCACTGAGGGCAATAATTTGAGGGCCGTATTGGCCTCTTCAATCATGCTCCATATCTGCCATGTGCCAGGACCTGATTGTATAACTGTAAGCATCCACTGGCACCTCAGCATCTTTGCCCTTAATATGAAGTTCCATAGACACTTTAGGCTTCTGGGATTGCAGATTTGGGCAAAGACACTTTTGGCTTGTTCCAAGGACACACAACAGACATCTTCCCAAGTAAGGTATGGAGGTCCGATTTTTTTTCTTCTTTTTTTCTGATTGTGTGATAGCCTCTGGGTTTCTATTACTTTTTGTTGGTTCAATTTGGCGGGGGGATTGAGAAGGTGTGGGGATCGGAGTAGCTGATGGTGGTGTTCTAGTTCTAAAGGGTGATGTCAAGAGAATATTTTGGCTGTATTTTTTTCTGTTGTTTGGATGATTTGTGCATGACTAACTTTGGTGGAGGGGCAAATATCACCCCCAGAAGCAAAAATTCCTTTCCATGCTTGGTTTAAAGCTCTTATTTCAGCTTGAGGAGTTTCTCTTCTCAAATGAAGGGTGATATTTTTTTTCTCAGTTGGTCCGTCAAGATTGTGACTGGGGTGTCACTCTTAGAAGTGGTAAAGGGAGAGAGGATATTTGTGCCTTTCTCTTTAGGGGCTTCAGGTGACCGAGTTCTCACTGTCTGGTGCTTCCCTTTGGCCTTGCCAATGACCATCCATTTCCTCCTCTACAACTGCACAAGTGGTGGGCAGAGGTTTGTCAAGGAATGTAGGACAAAACCCAACCAGGGTTTTGACTGCATAGATTTCAGTGGCTGGCATACACATTACAGGCAAGGCAGACTTAACAGACACAGCCAGAGGAAAATTTTGGTCAATTGGGACCAGAATTACAGGAGCCTTCTTCTCTGTGCTGGAAAGGGAGATGTGACCAGTCTCTCTGCACTTCCAGCACTTTGGTTTACAACCAGTCACAATGACCAGCATATACTGGTCTACTACAACCAGGCAGTTGGGGATAGAGTGGAAGGCTTTGCGATCAAGCATTATATTGAAGCTTCATCCCCTGTTCAAGTTGACAGTTAAAGCACCCAATATTTCCCTGTATTCCTCAAAGTAGGCCACTATGTGCTCCCCCAACACTTGAGGGACCGCATATACTGCCACTTTGGTCCCTCACCTGCCTTGATATTCAGTCCAGATGATTAAATGCTTAGTTATCAGTTTGTGGCTTGCCACAGCCAGACAATCATCTGATGATGGCAACAGTATTTCCCACATGAAGGAACCTTTCTCTTTTATTCTTTGAAGCTTAACCCCTAGAGACATCAATGTTTTTAACAACAGTGTCTTTTGAGACAAATCTTGCACTAATGTTTGTCCACCACAAAGACCAACACAACTCTTGTTTCAACAATTCTTCGGGGTCCACTAAAAGTCCATCCTTTTTAATCAGATGTCCATAACCTCTCACTCACTCCAAAAACTCTGCAATGTTGAGGATACATTTTGGTGGGGACTTCCAGCATGAGAGCAATTCCCTGGTTACTGCACTGTCTTTACTACCATTTTCACCTACCATCTTTGGAGGTTGGTTTTCACTGGTTCTGGTTTCCATATTCATGTCTTTATTTTGGCTATTTCCAGCCACTGTACTTTCTTGTTGATTTTGGCTATTCTTTTCTCTTGACTTTGGATGTTCTTGGCCACCATACATCCATCAACAACTTTGTGGCTTCAGCAGTGGATTTAACTAGGGGCTCATCTATTGAAGCCAACCCGAAGAGATTTTTCTGAACATGCTGTCTTTTGTTGGCCATTATTAAAATATTCTTTTTCCTTTTTATTTTCTAGCCAAGCACAAAAATGGTTTTGTATAAACAAAAAGAAACTAAAAACAAGCCTATAAAATAAGGGAAAAATTAAAACAAAATTAACACAAAGTAAATAACAAAAATAAAACACAAAAACAAAAAAGCTAAATGCTTGTTATACCAGACAAAGAAACAAAGTTCGGAATGAAAATCTAACTTAGAAAATTAGACAAAAAAAAAAAAAAAAAAAAAAAAAAAAGGTCCTAAATAAAACCAATAGAAATAATAATTTCAAATGTAAAATAAAACGAATAGAAAAAAAAAAAGAAAATGGTATAAAAGAACTTTACGGAAAAAAGTTCACAGTTCACACTGGAGCAAGAACTTTAGGACTAAAAGAAATAGAAAACAAAAAACTGCTGAATAAAAAATCAAAAACGTTTAAACAAAAAACAGTAGTTTGGTTTAACTAAACATTATAGTCAAAAAAAAAAAAAAAAAGAAAAGATTTGTCTGAGAGCTGAGAAAATAAAAATAAAGACTGAAAATAAAATTCAAAATCAGATCAAAGTAATCTTAAAAAATCAAAAAATACACACTAAATAAAATGGATAAAATAAAGATAAAAACATAAGGAAAATTTCCTTTGTAAGTCTTATGTGTCATTCAAAACAAGTTTTCACATGAGCAGACAAAAAGTGGTCTGTTATTGGCCAAACATGAGAAGAACATTGACAATTGTCTTGCCATCCATAATCCTTTTCACCCAAAGACAAAATCTGCTGGTTTTATGTGTGCCTCAGTCAGTTATGCATATTTTTTCATGCTCACCTACGGGCATTTTATTAGTCCTAAAGCACTAGATGATTTACATGACCCTGTATGGCACAGGCAATTTTGTGCCTCTTTTGTTGGGGAGATAGGCCATGTCCATTACAGAATAAAATGGTTAAAAAAAAGTAAAAAATAAAAAAAATGTCAGCAATCATTTTAAAAGAAAGCATTGTGAGGAGAGAAAAAAGTATGACAAGAACTGTTAATTTAAATTTGTGTAGCATTTTTAAAAACAAATATTTTTTAATGTTAGTTTTTTTATAGTAATAAATTTTAATAAAACAACTTTAGGAGCAACATTAATTCTCAGTTGAGACAAATTGAAAGTCAATTAAATCCAAGCAATGACTGACAAACAGATTTAGTTCTAGCTGGTTAAAAGCAGACAAACATTTAAAACTCATGAGAAATAAGCATGCAATGCTTACCTGCCAAATTCATAGGGCACAATAGTAGGGCGTTCATTGTCAATTGACTTCAGGAGAGGAGTGAAGATTCTCCAAGCTTCATACAATTCATCGGAACGAACAAAGTTCATTTGAGAACCAGTGAAAACGTCCAGAATAAGACGTTCATAGGCATCAGGAAATTTGGCATGCTGGATTTTACAGAATAAAAGCAATGAAATAAAGAGAGTTAGTTTGATAAGGTCACTGATAATCTTATGTAAGGTTTTAGCTAATTAGGATTTTAATCAATGAAGAACTTTGCAAATAAGCCAAACAGCTTTAAAGTTTTGACTGCGGAGGAAAATTTGCAATTGCTCAAATTGTTTATCTGATAAGGATTTCGAATTTTACAGAAATTTTAAGATTTTATCAAATCTCACTTAGTTTTATTTTTTATTAAACACCACATTTCATTTCCAGACATTTTCCAGTCCATTGCAGGATAAACACCTTTCTCAAACTCCTTCCATAACTATGTTATTCTCTGTTATGTATTGCCAGCAAGGCCCTCAATTTTATCTCTGCACTATTTGACTGCTATTTATTAAGCACTATTCAGACAACCTTTTGCTCCATCTGTTATCCTTTCTTTTTCTAATTGTCCTATAAACCTCCATTTTCCATCTCCAATTTTGGTCTATACTCTTATCAATAATTACCATATTCTGTCTCTAAATTTTCACCAACATTGCTTCCCATTGATCTTTATGCAGTTTGTTTTGCAATAGCTGGCAATACAGAAAAGGGTGCTGAAAAGTTATCAGCCTGATTTAGAAACGATTTAAAAAAAGATAACAAAAATTCACATATTCGATAAAATTTGGAGAAATAAGTCAAGTGAGACAGATATCGATGTTGAAAGTTCAAATTCTGACCAAATCTGTGATGCTTACTTTTACACTAATGCCCTTGTATGAATCCATCACATTTCTTCAGAGCTGTAGGTTCAATAGCTGAGTAAACTACTATATATTGCCTTAGTTGGTAGTCAGTTTAGGAGAAGAAAAACTAAATTGAAAATGTCCTGTAAAATAATCAGGCAGATTGAGCTATTTAGCTTCAGTAGGGCAACCAGTCTATAAGGAAAACTGTGAAATCAAAACCAGCCTGAAGAGGAATGAGTTCAACCAGGTCATCTTGCTGTAGATACACATATTACTGCAGTAAATCTAGTGTCCCAACGACCCTAATGGATTACAGAACTCATGATCATTTCAGCCGATTCATTCTATGGTCTTCTTTAGGTACATGAAGGACTTATTTTTCACTGAAATGCAAATCAGAAAATTTGATGATTTGCATTAAATAGAGAAATACCTCTCCACTTGCCTTGGAAACTGTATAATTGAAGAAGGCTCAAGAATGAATTGGTCAAAAGAAAACAAAAACAGCAACAAAAAGGAGTTTATTAATTTGAACATAGCTTGAAATGTTCAATAAAATTTGTATTTTATAATGCAGAAACAAAAAAAAAATAACCTTTTCTCATTATTTGATCTCAAGAAAATGATGTATTCATTCTGAAGTAGTCTTATACAAAAGAAAAATAAAAGAAATGATGTATTAATTTTGAAGTAGTCTTATACAAAAGAGAAATAAAAAATATATAATTAAATCCAACTCCACACTAATTCAACCAACCAAGAAAGAACAATACTGATTTTAGTAGACTAACCTCATAGCGTTTTTCAAAGGTTAGATCCAGTTCTGTTTCTTCACAGTTAAATGCCATACCAGGAACTTTGGTCATTACTTTCATGTATACAGCTTCCTTTGGCTGGACACGGAACACCAATTCATTTCGCTTGACCAATCCAGGCTGAAAAATATCTCCAGGCACATCACGGAATTGGATGCGTATTTCAGCTTTTCGCTCATTGAGAGCTGCAAAGAGATTGCAATTCATTGTATAAATGTGAGTACAAAACAAGTGCAAAAGATCAGGTTAGATCAAGTCTATTTCATATACACTGGGTACTTTCAATGACCTGTTAATACTGAATGTTCAACATAACATCAGTTTTTTTGAGCTGTGTTTCTGCCTTAGTCAATTTCTTAGATGTGACAAGGGAATTTATGTCAGTTTTGCAGCCAAAAGTAAAAAAGCAGGCCAAAGGAAAGAAAGCACATAAAAAAAAAAGAAAAAAATGGATAAAGAGGAGAAAAAGAAATGTCCAGACTGAAGAAATATAGATCAAATGGAGAGATAATGACTCTCAAAATAATTAGAATTGATTCTTCATGTCTAATTGAAGATGGACATGATCTTAGACAATTAGATGAAGCAGAAGAGTAGTCCTCAATAAGACGCCAGGAATTTTAGTGAACTTGCTGTGCAAGAACAGGGTAAAGATGAGAATAACAATTTTCTGCCTATGAGGGATTTAGAGATTTTGGCCAAAGTTTAAGCGGATTTATGCCATCAAGGATAGGTGAATCTAATATAACCTGCATTTACTAATAGAAGACAAAAGAAAGAAAAAAAAATAGAAGATCAAGCTGTGCTGATCAGTTTAGATCAATACAAAGTCTTCAGTAGTGGAGAGATTCATATCACATTTTCACTTCAAGTTTACATCTGGTATATATAATCGGAAATACATGCAGGGACACCTATCCATGCCTAACTTGACGCTACAAATACCCAGATATTATGTGACTGTTGATCAGAGCAGCCTAAGTGCTACCAAAGAGTTTGGGTTCCTTATTACCAGTGAGATGCAGTAATCAGAAAACTACCAACCTGGTACCTTCATAATGAAAAGTTGTTGCTACTGATCCTTCAGATTACCAAAAAGTTAGGACAGTTACATCTTTAAGTCCATGGAAGAAAGAACCTGTAAACCCTATCCTAAACAGGAAACAAGGGATAAACCTCTACTTCTGGTCAATAAACATGGAAAAAGTACTTACTGCCTGGATTAATGCGTTCATGGCACAAAATGTCATGAGCAAGCCTAGTCCTGTGTAAATTCATATTAGCTGGCCAGTAAATCTGACATCATCTCCAAAATTTGGCCAGACATATAAGATAAAGTTGAAGCTGCAATTAGTCTTTCTGGTAAGGAGGTGTTCATTTAACATATTAGTACCTTCATCAATTGTTTGTACTTCCAATCTCACAAAGCACACAGTGGTATATCCCAAGATCTGTAACCTTCATCTTTTAGAGGACAGTCTGGGAAAGATGGATGCCAAATATAGGCTACATGTGTATACAAAACAATAACAGCACCGGAAAGGAATGTGCCAAGAAAGTTGTTCTATCATGAAGCTTGGCATGTTCCAAGTCTTCTCTTGGATCAAGACTAGAATCTGAAACCTGGCTGTTGGTATTAAATATTAGTAAGTGGAAGAAGAATGCAAGACAATTTTGCTCAGCCCGAGGAAGAATACTGCTTGCTATGGACTTTGGTACCCAAGTTGCAGTGTTTTAATGATGATGCCTCTCTCACCTGGTTGGTGATCCTAATGCTCTTAGGCATTAGTTCTTTTTCAGTAAGGCTGGTTTTATCACCAAAATGTATCCTTTGCATTTACAGATGGTGGAATCTCCTAAGCACGCCTTTTTCCAGTGCATGTTCATATAGTCACAGTATAAATTTGTTGAAGGCTGTACAATTCATGAGTTTCAGAAAGAGTTTCTTTTTGTTTTGAAATCAGATCTAACATGCCAGAAAATGTAATCAGAAGTAAAAAAAAAAAAAAAAAAAAAGAGTTGAAAATGGATACTCTCTGGACATTGTGCAATCTATCATTTATGCTAAAAGTGTACAATAAATCCAAATTGTATGATCTGGAAAAGTCTTCAATCTATATGCAATTATTTGGCACAAGGTAAATCTCTCAAAGTGTGCAGATTTGTTATTTTGCTCTCAATCCACAGCTTGCTTTTTCTTCCCAACTTATGCTGAAATCCCTTTGCAAAGATGTCCTGCTTCCCCATCATGTTAGTTCAGTTATTTATGATTTTAAATGTCAGTGTGATGCTGAATATATTCACAGAGCTATTCTTGGAAGGAAAGATTGATCATTATATACCAACTAATATCCATAGAGGATAGTTTGAAAATTTTACATACTTATTTATACTTCTCATTCTGTGACTGCACAACAATTAATAAATAACCCAACTTGTGCCTCATCTTTTACCAGAGATTTTTTTTCACAATAGCCAACAGAGTAAATTTAGATGACCATTTGTGAGTGCCAGAGCCCATTTATATTAAGTCCAAGCAACCTTCCCTCTGAAAACAAAAGGAAATGATACTGGGTCTAAATATCATGTTTTAGATTTATATTGCCGATTCTCTGGTAGTAACTTTTTCCCCTTTAATTAGTTGTTGTGCACATATTTATGTTTTGTCCTTGATTAAGCTCTGAAGAGTGAGGAGTGGCTACCTTCCTCTTTTTGTTATAATTTTCAGTTCACCACTTTACAGTGTGTAATAGTTTGTTTTATCTTTATTCTTCCTCTCCATTTATTTTAATATATTTGTATCTATTAATATATACTTTTAAAATATCTGTTTTTAAAACAATATACAAAACCCCTGTCAATTGTTTTTAATTCTTCTTCTCACAGGAAATTTTAAATGAGTTTATATAGAATTTCCGTAGAGAATGTGATTTTTTTGTGATTGTTGCATGAAAGATATTGAACAAATGCAATGCTATAGTGAAAGCAACAATGGACAATAGTAAAAAACAACCCATTCCCTTTCCTCCAAATTTTCATTTGGGTCATATTTTTTGTATTCTTTTACAAAAATATTGTCTCTCGTAACTGCCTGGAAAAAATTGTCAGATAATAGGACACCATCGATGATTCATCAACACTAATATCTGTTCATCCTGAGAAATTACTTTTCTTTTGTTGTTTTAATAAGTTTGTTGGTAAAACTTAACAATAAAAGTCACCAAATTTTCTAAGTGAGGACATTTTAATATTTTAAATTTTGCAAATCATTCTTAAACTCATTTCTACGAGAAATTAAGATTTCAACAGAAAAGGAAAAAAAAGTTCACTCTTAAACTTGTTAAAAGATCCAAGGGAAGTAACTCTCGACTTGGATTTAAGAAACCAGAAAACATGAAGTAGGCACCTTTTGTATGATTTATTCGTAATATTTCACTTTGTTGTCCTTCATTTGTTATACAGGGTGTACCAAAAAGTTTGACATCATTTTAAAAGAAAACTACTAAGTCTAGCTCAATGAAATTAAAGAGTTTAGGTGTTGAACATCATAAGTTTATTATGGGACTGATTTCATAAGTGTTCAATATGCACCGCCTGTGACATGGAACATATCAAGTTGGTAGTTAAGCACTTGCCAAACACGTAGCATGTCTTCGGTAACATTATCCAGTACAGAAGTGATTCTCTGCTTGAGTTCATCAATGCTAGCAGGAAGAGGGGTGGGACATAGACCAGACCATTCACATATCCCCATAAAAATGAAATCATATGAGGACAGGTCCAATGACCAGGGTGGCCATTTAATCAGAAAACGGTCTTCATTTCCACCACGCCCGATCCATCTCTCTGGTAGATTTTCATTGAGATAACAAAAATAAAACATTAAATATAAAATCTTGATCTGTTTCTTTTTCTTTCTGTGAAAATTTGACGTTATTTCAACAAGATTTGCCAAAGTCTTTGGCCTGCAAAATGATGTCAAATTTTTGGGACACCCTCTATAATAATAATTCCTCGGTAAGGAGGCTACTTGAAGGTCAAAGTCAATATGTATTCCTTACCAGCATCTGTAGTCAGTGTTTGAGTAAAAACTAAAATCTTACTTTTCTGATTTTCAAAGAGAGCAAACCCCCAGAGTGATATTTTTTTTATAATAATATTCACACAATACAAGGCTCAAGAGTCACTCAGAGGGCTACTGTTAAAATGGTTATGACAAATGAGGCATGATATGAGTGAAAAAGAATCTGGTAGGAATTGAAGGTAAGGAAAATAGATAAGAATTGAACCTTGCTTTCAAGGAGTTAAAATTGGAGTGTTCATGGAAGCACCCCCACAGGATTCTGCTTCACCAAGAAGTGGTTCTTGAGAAAAAGCTGTGTTAGTAGAACTTCCTTCTTACATTTGGAACATTGAAGAAATTAAGTTGACTTGACTCTGTGGAAGTGACTTAGTATATGCTAACAGTAAATGTTTGAACTTGTGGAACTAAAGAATGGAGCATGTCTGAACATTTGATGGGTACAATGTAATCTTCCTACTCTACATGAGACTCCCTCAGCTCCAATGTGTTTCTGTAACAACAAAAACAACTCCCTGGGTTGCACTTGGATGTTGAATGATTTTACATATGCATTAAAAAAACAAAAACAAAACAGGGAGAGAGAAAGTGGGAGAGAGAATAGATTGGATTGAACTTACCTTTTCCACATCTGAGAATGAAAGGCACACCATCCCAACGTTCGTTCTTGACAAACAGCACAGCAGCAGCAAACGTAGGCGTGACAGAATCTGGAATGAGAAAGCGTTTAAATTAGCATTCACTTTCTCACCACTTCCTGTGCCTTTTCTATAAATACTTTCATGGTAATTGTTTTGATGAGCTTTGCCCTATGGTAGCTAGGCTTTATAAATTTAAGCACAGTACTAGATTAGCAACAAAGTCTCATCGTTTTATAGTTGAATTGGCTAGATATAACCATAAGTTCTTTGCTAACACTTCTCGTCTGTGGAACTCTCTTCCAGCTTCTTGCTTTCCAGCCAACTTTGATCTTCAAAAATTTAAATGCAATGTCGATCATTATCTTATATCTTCTTGATTCCTCTTCTTTTATTGTTCAATAATGTTTTCTTTTTAATATTCTTTCACACTCAGTAACTCCTTGTGTCTTAGTGGCTTTATTGCCTTGCTTGGAGTGAAATGATTAAAAAGAAAAACAATTGTAACATTCCTTAAAAGTCATAAAATTAACAATTTAAATATAAAATCATTGCATATACCTAAATTCAATAAGCCCATGACAGGTGCTAAGGGCAGTTTTGCCCAACACTGCAAGATTAATCTAAGAGTCATATTTTTAAATAGTCTCATCAGATCTAGACTAATACAGATATTATATATGGTATCCAACTTGTTCAGAAGTGTCTCAACTATCAATTGAAACCATTGAAATGTATAATTATATCAAAGATATTTACTCTTAGGTGCTTAACAGAAGGTGGGGAGAGGGGCATTTTATTTAAATAAATTTTCCAACCACTCTATGGGCTAATTAAAACCACCCTATTTATTAATTCAACATTTCGTACCCCATTAAATGATTTTAAGCAATCTCCCCCAACTATCATTTAATTTATATTGAGAAAAATTAACACTCATCTTGAATTAGGCACCAAAGAATACTGAGACATCATTTGTGAGTACCCAGAAAAAAATTACTAATATTCAAGTATAGTGCAAGTTTTTATGATCAGTTTTTATGCAAAAAAATAAGGGTGCACACTATACACAAGTCATTTTTTGGAGAGGTTAATAATCATACAATTTCAGTGACCTGTTGCACTATACACAGGTAAATTTTTTCTGGAGATGTTAAAATTCATGACAAAAAGTTTAGGAGTCACACTATACATGAAGTTGGATTATACATGAGTATATATGGAATATAATTGTTTTGTTTAATCATTCTCTGGCATATGCTGACCAACTACAGCTACTAGTTTCATGTGCTTCAAGTAGTCAGAAACTATTTTTTATGAAATTAACATTTTATACGAGCTGATATGTACATAATATGCAAACACCAACTAAACTTGCAATAAAAATATAGTTTTAAGGTATGCTATATTTATGGTTAAAAGTGCCCCATACGAGGGATGGGGCAGGTGTAAATACAATGTGCAGCAGAAATACCTCCCACATAATGGTAAGACATTAGTGGCAATAGTGTCTTCACCTAGCTAATGTCTTACCATTATGTGGGTGGTATTTCTGTCGTACCCTGTATAAAAGTGTACACTGAAGTCAATGCTGAGTGGCAACAGTCTGTTTCATGTTTCAATGCAAACTCCAGGCCATGAGCACTTTTACCCATAGATATAGCAAACCTTAAAACTATATTTTAATTTTATCTTGCTCCTGGTAAATAGCATAGGACTTTCACTACATTTATAACCTAATACACACACACACATTATATATATATATATATATATATATATATATATATATATATATAAAGACATTTTTATTTTAACGTTCTTTTTATAGATACAAGTATTTAAATAAATGCTCTGTTTATAATAAACAGTATTAAATAACATTTACCGCCTGGTAAATACTGTTTATTATAAACAGAGCATTTACTTAAATACTTGTATCTATAAAAAGAAATGTTAAAACATAAAAAATGTCTTTAATAAATAAATTGTCAGACTTTGTCCATTTCTTAATATATATATATATATATATATATATATGCACCTGGAAAAAAATTATTTCAGTTGAGCTCTCGGGAAAAAAAAGTGAGTTTGTAAACAGTGACTATTACTGCTGCTAATGCAAGACTCTTTGATAAAGCAAATCAATTTCTCCCAGTCACTGGCATGTTTATCTAAATAAAATAAATACGTTTTAATTCACCTTCATCCCTGCTGTGTGCCAATGGCTTAGGGGTAGATTTTCCGACTGATACCAAATCAGTCAGGTTTTGATCCTGGCTTGGGCAATTGGATGTCTAGTTACATTGATCAGTTGTGAAATAGTGAAACAGTCTGACTGTGGATGACTATATATTTAAAGACAAAAGGAAAACTTATCTTAGCCAATGCCTTTCATCCCCTCATGGATTTTATTAAGGCAAATGTGAGGATTTTATTTTGCAACAAGTATTTATAAACAAAAGGTATTAGTTTGTTTTTTTTAATTTTTTAATTTAAGAGACACTCATAAATATTTGTCAGGTTAACTGAAAAGTCAAGGTAAATTATGGAAGATGCTAAGTGGTGTAATTTAATGTCTAATAAATGAAAATGAGTAAACGATGCTGTTGAATTTAATATTTAAATTATTTTTGTATGGGATAAATTTATGTTTTATTTTTTTTAAATAACAGGAGGTTATGAATTTAGCTATTTTCTTTTAATTTATCTCTTAAATTTAAAAATTTTGAAAATGTAATAACATTTTTTCTTTTGTTTATAAATATTTGTTGCAAAATAAAATCCTCACGTTGACTTGATAAAATTTCTGAGAGGATGAAACATGCCAACTAAGTTTTCCTTTTGTCTTTAGTCAGTGTCCATTTACATATATATTGTACTTATATCTGAATTATATATTGATGAATGGTATTTCAGATTAGTAAATCAACCATCATTTTAATTTATGTGCTGATACAGCCAAGTAGGCTATAGACTATCTGTGTATGAAATGCTTGATTGATATATCAGTTCCTTACTTACCTTTAGGCACTGTGGGGTCATCTAGATACCCTAGAGCAGCTTCACCATCAGCTCCTGGTTTCCCAGTGTATTGACCCAGGACAACATTTTTTATATTCACAGGGGGAACACACTTCAAGACTCGTACCTGAAATGTGAAAGCACGTTTGATAAGAGAAAGTTGAGTATCGTTAAAATCTAATGACTTTATCTATTCCATTACTATATTGTACAAGGTATTCTAAAATATGTACGTATATGAAAAATATGCATTTACAGCACTTGATCTTAGCATCCTGCATCATATTTCTCCCCTATTTTGAATAGTCATATCAATAATTTTTTTTTTTTTAAATACTCATGACCAAAATTCTGCTGGTGGCTAAAATTCTTTCTCAGTTGTAATTGGGTGTATGATAATCATTGCTTTAAAGACTTGTTAACTGAGAAATATATGTGGAGTGAAGACAGAAATAAACACCAAATGACAAAAAAAAAAAAAAAAAAAAATGGTTTCTTAGTCGGAGGAATGTGCATTTTTTCTAGTTAAAAATTAAGGCTTTGAAAATAAACATTTAACATTTTTTAACCAAAAGATTGTGTTCCCACCAACAATAAAAAAAAAACATGCTTTGTGATCCTATTGGAAGGTATTTAAGCAAAGTTTCTAGAGCAGACAAGGCAGGAAGGAGAGACAGTTGGTAACAGTTTATGACACACTCAGCTTAAAAGAAACTCCCTTACTCATTCATCTGTCTTCCTCACCAAGATATGTGACACACTTTCCCCTCACTTTCTCCCTTGCCTCTTCTTTCTCACACATACATGCAAAGAAATCACATTTCTTTTCATCTTAAACAGCTACAAACAAGGGCTGTAAGAACCTTAGCACTCATAGATGCTAATATTCAGTTGTAGAAAAAAAAAACGAAAATAAAAATAACTTATATTTTTATATTTAAACACCTTCTTTGTTGTGGGTTGATTCAAATCTGCAACATATAAATATAAGTGCAAAATATCAGGTTTGATCAAATCTACTTTATATACACTGGGTACTGCCAATGACCTGTTAATATTGAATGTTCAACATAATCTTTTTTAGCTGTGTTTCTTCCTAAGTCAATTTCTTGGATGTGACTAGGGAATTTGTGTCAGTTTAGCTACCAAAAGGAAAAAAGCAGACCCAAGAAAGCACATAAAAAGATTTTTAGTGTTTTCACAAGTCTGAACTATGGATTGAACTATTACAACTGCACCAAATCCACTAAGCTATTTTTTCATAGGACAATAGTCCAAATGTAAATAAGGATAAATAAACTCTTCATCCTAGAAATTCAGGAGGTAATCAGGTGGTAGCAACAAAGATAAGGATATTAGTTCAAATGTAAATAATGATAATTCTTCATCCCAGAAATTCAGACAGGATGTGATCAGGTGATAAAAACAATAAAAATGAGGATATTAGTCCAAATGTAAATAATGATAATTCTTCATCCCAGAAATTCAGACAGGATGTGATCAGGTGATAAAAACAATGAAAATAAAGATATTAGTCCAAATGTAAATAATGATAATTCTTTATCCCAGAAATTCAGACAAAGGGTTTTTTTTGTTTCTGTCCCCACCCCTATATTTTTACTTCATACCTTCAATCATAAAGATCAGTATCAGGAAAATAATGACAAAAGTGTTCAGGTATTATTCAGGCATTAATGCAAACCAAGTGGTATAAGTTATGAGATTAATAGCTGATTACTCATACCCAAGTATTCCTGTCTACTAGAGTGGCTAGTCAATCCCTATTGCAAGCAACTGCTCAAGCACATTTGTGTTTGTTCAACACCTACAGAGCACACCTGTGGTTTATACAGCAACTATGTTGAGCAAAGTTACAGTTTCTGTAAGAGAGTGCATAATCTAGTGTGATCAACAGTCTCAACAAAGATAATATGCCCAACCCTTGGTCACAATGACAATAAACAAATGATAATAAATGTGAATGTCACTGTGTTACACCTTTTCAACTTAAAGGGACACAACTCTCTAGCTTTCAATAGCTCATTTCAAACGAAAAAATTTACTGTTCTCAAATTACAGTATTTCAAAATAAAATTATCAGTGTTTTCAACTTTATTCCTAGAAGCTGTAACCCAACAAATTACGTTTTGGAATCAGGCCAACTCCATAAGTAAATTAAAAACATTCCAGACTGAATCCAGACCTGAAATTTGGGATTCCCTAGTTTTCATTACTGCAATTTTTTTCAGCAATTTTGTTTTGTTTTATGTGATTTATGTTCCAACAAATTTTTTTGTACAATAACAACTTTTATAACTTGGAAATAAATTTGGGAATAATTGAAATTAATTGCAAAATCCAGCAAAAGGCACCCATGAAATAAAAATAATTGTTTGTATGAAAAATAAGGACCTTTCAGTGGCAGCAGAAGAATTATCATTGAACTTTAAAAGGTAAGCTTAAATATTAATGCAATACTTAAATGTATTGATCAATTTTGAGTTCTTCTGTAGTTTATTGTTGCTTACCACATCTACTCCTCCTTATCCATTGTGATGAAGGTCTATTCAAGAGTTCATACAGGAACTAGCTTAAATGCCACTTGATAGGGCAGCTTTTAAGCTAATATTATTATAAAATAAACCAATGCAAAAACAGAAAAATTTATTTGACATGATTAATAAATTTTGAAAGATGCAAAAATTTAAATGGGTCTAAATTAAAAAACTTCTTTTAAAATTTATAATATCCGGTAGGGGTTGTAACAATACTGTTCAATGTTGAATTGCTACAGCCTTTAGGAGCTGTGGGCTTATGGCCATAAGATGCTGCTTCAATATGATCTTTATGCATTTTTATAGTCTCATATTGATATCACTTTTAATAATCAGACTATTCTGTAGAGTTCAATGGACCCATTTTCAGCATTATTTAGGGTAATGAGTTTATTAACCTGCTTGTTGAGGTGGTTAGTAAATTTTGTTAAAGTTTTAAAAATATATTTTTTTTTTGCCAAGAATAACATCTGGTTTTTAATTATAATCAGTTCTGTCAGTGCTGTCACTTTTCTGAATTTTAATATATTTTGGTATTTCTTTTAAAATTATTTTGAAATTTGTCTTTGTGCATGACTGGTAATTTTTGCTAAGTTTCTCAACATATTGATAGACATCAGAGGAAATAGAATATTCTTGGGAATTTTGAAGTGTTCTTACAACATCAATAAAGAGAAATATTATCGTGAATATGCAAATATAAGAAGTAGGTTAGTGTTTTGGGTAACACTATAAATTCCTGATTGTTATGATACAATAATGTTTATTTCCAACAGACTGTGTGGTACTAACTGCATTTGAATTGTTTAACATGAGAAATCTCAGAGTCTGTCTATATTTCTGAGATGAGTAGATAGATTTATTTACATTATTCGATTGATTTCCATTTTGTCGCCATAGTTTATCACAACGTTTCAGCCGCTGTACGCCCGCCTTCATCAAATAAAGGGTTCAGTTCGATATTCCAACCACCTGAAGAAGGCCGGAGCGTACAACGGCCGAAACGTTGTGATAAATATGGCGACAAAGATGGGGACAATAGTCTGAATAATGTAAATAATGAGAAATTTCAATTCAATTTTACAGACCAGTGGATTGACAGAAGAATAAATGACTACTAGAGTAAACAAATTGAATATGTTAATCACAGTTTGTTTGTTTGTTTAACGACCCATCGATCAGCAAGAGATCAGTTAATCACAGAAAAACAATTACATCTGAATATGTCAGTAAATAATGAACTGCTTGTGAAAAAACTTGTCAGAAAATTCTTAGAGAATTTTCTGTTTTATATATACATTTTTCCTCCACTTAATTTTGAAGCAAACCTGACATTTTCAAGGGAAGTAACTTTTATATTTTTTTGGTCGTAGTAAGAGTTGCCTCCCTTCCTTATATCAACTTTGCTTTACGACAAAATGGTAATGATAACAAATTAACAGTTTCCTTATAAGGAAGCATTCGGCATTCATTGTCCAAGTAGTTAGTGTTGCCGTAATTTGAAAATTATAAAACCTTTTTCTTCAAACAAGTTTTCAGGAAAACAGGTTTCTTAAACACATTAACTGTTAATGCTCTTTCCAGTACTGATGGGAGGCTTCCTTCCTCGCCTTTTGTTTGGGGTAGAGTGAAAAATATCAGCATCTTGATTTTGTCATTATTCTCTCTTCCAATTATATGTGCTATCCATTTTAGTTGTTGCCGCTGTTGAAAGTCTTCAACTGATGTGGTTTCAGTTATTTGATACAGTTCTTTGTTTAGGATTCTGTAATGCCACAGTGGAGTAATGGATAATGGCTTGGATTGAGGAATCAGAGAGCCAAGTTTGAATTCCAGTTGAATCCATTAGATTCACTTACGTGCAAATACCCTTGGAAAAGGGATGAATCCTCTTCTCCTCTCAACTATGGGTAAATAGCAGGACAGACCAGGTTCTATAGCCTTGGATGGCAACTGGTCTACTGCAGGAAAAAAATTGCCTCGTAAATCATGTATCGAAAGATATATGATCACCTAAACATGTATCATGCATGACACATAACTGACTGAATGCCAGTCCATGAGGTTCAACGAAGGATGGTCCTTGCTGACACCTACATGCTTCACTCACTCGAATCCATTTTTAAGCATTGATCTTAGAAAGCAGTTGTATATAGCCAAGAGTTTGGTGCCATATATATGAAAGTCTCGATTTGATTTGCTTAAGAACATGTGTTCAATTTCCCTACACTACACTAAATCTGTTATAACAGATCCATACACCAAGATATTTGAAGTGTTTAGTCTTTACTAATTCCACATCCTGGATTTTTATGATGGATTCATGGATCATTATCATGGATTTCATTCCAATTTCAGATCCCAGACCAGGACATCTCATCTGTTTTGGTTACTAATGCAGGATGCTATCATGATTTTTTTTCAATTTTTCAACAATGTCTATACTGTCTGGCTTCAAAGTGGAGTGTCAAATTGTTATATATAAAACACACAAGTCCCAGTCTGAAATGTTTCCAGCTAATGATAGGTTTCAGGTGCTGCGTAGACACCATGAGAGTGATTAGTGATTGCT